AGATAAAATTAAAATAGTATAAAGATGGGAAAATAGAAACTAGAATTAGTTATACATTCAACATTTGAAGAGTTATAGAAACATAATAGCTAATTAAATAAACCTTATATTATAGAATTTATATGAATAAATACTAAATTAGAGCTCAATTCTCGCACGAAATCTGAGATTAAAAAGCCTCAGCAAATTTCTTTTATTTTTTCTTCCCTTCTTTCCTTTTTCTGTTTGGCCATATTTTTCAATAATTTATCATCCATTAACTAGTTTGAAAAATCTTTGTAAATTTTATTTCAATTTACAAGGAGAAAATGATCATTAACCTAATGAAATCTTAATTCCTAAAAATAAAATATAAAATATGTTGCTCTGTTTAATTAAAACATTGAGCTCTATGTATGAATCAGTTTTAATATTTAATATTTTATATTGTATCAATAGGATTCACTTGTGTTATATACCAACGGATTATTATATATATATATATATATATATATATATATATATATATATATATATATATATAAGAAAATTTAATTCCACTCTTGAGAGGAAGCGCGAAATTGTAAACAGTGACTACTACTGAAAAGCTCTTCTATGAATTGAGCCCTCGCTGTTATTGGCGTATTTATTCGAGTTAATGGATTACATTTAAGATTTCTAAAAAAACAAAATACTTAAGATATTTGAAAACGACTTTAAATTGGTTGGAATTACTTTTAAATTGCTACAAATCGCTGATTTTATTCATATTTGCAAGTTTCTAAATACAATGTAATTCACTTTATTAAAAATCTTTCAAAAATAAAATATAAATATATAAAGATATAAAATGTTCCTTTCTGAAAAGTTATTTGAGGAACATTAGCTGATTTAAAGATTAATTAATCTAATTTGAAACAAACATTACATATTTTTAATTATTTTGGAATATCGCAGAAAAGCATTTTTAACATGGAGGGGGTATTTTATTCGATGTTGACAACTATCACGATAGACTTATCTTTGATATTTTTTCTACACGAGACATGTCTGTAAAAATTACATGAATATAACGTGTGTGCCTTTTTTATATAATTTTTGAACTACCAAGTAATCTTAAGAATTTATGAAAATAGTCTTAGTAATCTAATGTTTTATTGAATTGGTACTTTTGCTTTAAATTTGCTATAGTTACTGATCTAATTTTTTTTTTATAGTGTCATATATGGATGACCGTATTTACAAAAAATCAGCATTTTTATACACACACATAGAAATTCAAAATTCTTTGTAAAAATACCTTTTTGCGGGTCGCTGAATTATCGTATGGTTTTCCATTTAAGATTTGTATAATTTTTACAATTTAATACAGAATATTAAAAGATTTAAAACTTTAAAAAAATGAAAATAGTTCTTTTAAAAGTTCATAATTTCTCAATAGTTTTTCTTAAGACAATAGTGTCCATAACATATTTTATTCATAAAAGCAATTAAAAGTTTTCTAATTCAATAATGTCTTATTTTTATTACATTATTTATTTTACGATTCAGAACAGATTTTAGGTAGCTGATGATTTAAATTCTCCAAGGACTTGTGCTTATAACTAATATAAACATTAACCCCTACAAAAATGAATTTCTCAAAATTTCATAAAATTAAATAAATGGCGGGTAACAAAATACAAAACAAAATATTTGTACCAAGATTTTCTAAAATGGAAACGTTTCTGAAATAATTTAATTCCTTTGAGAATAAATCCTGAAAATTTCATTAAAATTTGGCAATTACTTGATTTTTCTCAGAATTTCTGAATCAATGTTTCTTTTTCATCACATAAAGAAGGTCAAATTTTTATTCTAGGTTACAGTCATCCGCTAACACAAAAAAAAAGCAAAATACAAATTAATCAAAATTTTGAACGTTCTAAAATGGATTAAAAAGTATAATTTAATAATCAAAAAATTCTTTGGTCTTAAAAACAACGAAGATTTTGACGATAAAACTATGCTTGAGGCAATTTCCCATCATGTATCCAATATATATATATATATATATATATATATATATATATATATATATATATATATATATATGATTTTCTTATCTTTCCGGTGTACAATGCCCAATGACTACTAATAGTTTCATTCAACAAAATGAAACAAATACCAGTGAGTATATATATATATATATATATATATATATATATATATATATGGGGGTGTGTGTGTGTGTGTGTGTGTGTGTGTGTGTGTGTGTGTGTGAGTGAGAAGTTGATTCTTCGGCATTGGTTTTATACGCATTTCCCCACTTGGCCAGATTAGTTAGTATGCGCATATTATGTATTCATCAGCTCCACTCATTTTGACATCTTGGGCTAGCGTAGTTGTGTATAAAAATGTCCATTATAGAAGGAAACAGTTTTCGACATCCTGAGGATAACATGTTCGGTCATTGTGCACCGCATCGGATAGACATTAAGAATATACTATATATATATATATATTCATTTGATCTGGAAGAATGTGCACTATATATAGGATGGTCTAATAAAAGGTTCTCGACCTTATGAATTTCCAAAATTCAAATGGAACACGTATCAATAGGAGACCTTATTCAAGAATTAATAGAATTATTTTAATCTGATATTTTCTCTACTTCAAATATTATTATAGTGGATACTTCGTATTTAAAATAGATGCTCCATTTTTACATTTTTCTGTAGAGTATTTATTATTTTTATAGGCCTACACATCGTTTCTTCTACAAAAGTGGTCACAGGTTCGATCTCTGTCGGAGAACACAGATTCTTTAGTGAAATAATAAGGCAGTTTATGGGGCGTCTATTTCAAATATGACTCTAACCCTAACCCTAACCCTAATCCATGTGTTTACTGGAGGGCCGATCCCAGCGTGCGACACCTTTAGAAAGTACCTGAAAACAAGCCTTGTGAATGAAATTGGGTAGACGTTATCCTTAGGCCGCCAATAGCTGTCCTGGCACGAAGGCTTGAGGGCTTGAGCGTGCTGGCCTTGTTCAAATTGTTGATCACACTCGATCACACGCTCTTTCTTTCCCAGAAACTGTAATATTAGGTTTGCATAGTTGCAGTATAAAAGTGGGCTCTGTGGGTGTTTTATATATATTTTATATATATATATATATATATATATACTTTGAATATACGCTCTTTAGAGCTAGAGGGCGTCGTCAGTGATGTTCTGAATTGGGTCATTGGATAGTTTCAGGTTTTTCAAACATCATACTCCGCTTACCAAGTTGACCCCATCAGAGGTGATCAGTCACTGATGCGTCCCCCCACATCTAAATTAACAGCCTGCAGACACTGACTTATATTAGGCAAACCATACCCCCTATGTCACGTATTTGATTGGAAGTTGACCAACAGCCAATCGCAATGGTTTCATCTCTCTCCTCCCCCTCTCTCTCTCTCTCTCTATATATATCTATATATATATATATATATATATATATATATATTGTGTGTTTGTGTGCATATATATGTATGTGTGTGTGTGTGTATAACAGTTCATTTCTAGACGTTTTCATCCATGAATTTCCTTGCTACCTTGGTTCATTTGCTGTCTCTAAGTCATTGTCTTTCTCTTTCTCTTCCTCCTCCCCATCTCTTTCTTCCTCTCCCACACCTTCATATCCTTTTGTCTCCACTAGTATGTACGCGTCTATTTCCACTCATGAAACAAACCTTTGGTGGACAAACCTTTTTGAAGCCGCGAAGCATTTACGTCACACCTAACTAACGTCTAATTAATAATGTACAGGCTGAACAAATGGTCCATGTGGCCCAGCCCACTCACACCCCTTCAACAACCAATTCTCCAATAATCTGTTCATCGTCTGCCAACCGCCACTTCAGTTTCCCCACTTTTAACTCCCCCAACCAGCCACAAATGTATGGTCCCGACGACTGTATCCCCATCCGACCCCCCTCTCCGTAGATAGTTATCCGTATGCCGCATTCGGACCTGATTGCATGCCAACGCCTACGCCATCTTCCCTTCGTTGTTTTCTAACTTCACTACCGGATTTCCGGGCTAAGCCAAAAAGCGAGAAGGCTATAAAGATGTCACTGCTATTTCTACCACTCAGTTTCCCGTACCAATGAAGCCATTAGCACTGCTTGCGATCATCATCATCATAATAATAATGAAAAAATGAATAAAAATAAACAAAACAAAAAAATCCTTAAAAGATTAAAAAAACAAAAAAACAACGAAACAGTAACGTGAAAAATAAAATAAAAAATAACGGAAAAAATGAAATACAAAAAATCGATACGTGATTAATTATCTGTATAAGTTATAATAATGATGAATCTTTGTCATGGTTGATAACAAGTGTAAGAGCTTTCTTTCTGTTACTTTTGCGTGAGCAAATAATGAAGTTATGAGATGTGGTGGTATGCCAGGAAGGAGACGAGAACATGGTAACGGCTCCTTACTTTCTCCAAGACTGCTATTTCGAACATAACCTCAACTTGCTGATTCCATTTTCTGTGACGATAACCGTTACGCTATTTTAAATGCCAATTTGGCAGGATGAAAAACTGGAAAATATGTAACCCAACAAGTAATCGTGAATGAAAACAAGAAGTATTAGATCCTGATGTTGCCCTTCCATTAATGTGCAGAGAGAAATTGAAAGAACGTGAAATAGCAGGATCTCGCCTGAGATGTAGGAAGATTGCGGAATAGGAAATTGGTATCCACAGCTACAAGAAGAGGAGCGCTTAAAACAGTTGCACAAAATCTATTCAAAATAAAATTATTGAATCGGTACGAGTACTCCGTAGAGTACTGATGCTTAGAAATGGTTTATTAACAGATAACCTTGAGAGAATATCATTTGATAATAATGGTGTGTATAGTTGATATACAAATAATATCAAAATAGAGTCTGTCTATATAGTCCGACTAATGTAAATACTGCAATATCAAAATACTTCTGCTAAAATGTAATCTGTTCAATTAAGAATTGGCTTATGGCCATATAACGTCAAAACATCGGTTCTCGTACGATCACCTAAGTTAAACAACGTTGAGACTGGTTAGTAACTAGATGGGTGACCACTTGTGAATAACAGGTACTGCAAATGTAATTTTGGTTATGATTAGCTTAACTCGTGAATTTTAAGGGAAGATATAAAAACAAAAAAAATCAACTAAGGGATATGAATAAGTTAAAATGACAACGAACGAGAACTGGAGGCATTGTTCTTCCTTGCTGAAATGTCAGCGATGATCAAAACGTGTAGCAAAAGAAGGAATTGAACTACCCTATTGTAAACTCAACAAAAATGCTGAAAGAAAAAGTGTAATGTGAGTAGTGGAAAGTATTCAATCGATTTGAATGACAGGAACGAAAAAAGAATAGTTGAGAATAATCCATGGTTAAAGGATTAAATAGATATTGGCAGGATTAATTGTGATTCTTCAGGATTAATTGAGGATTCTTTCTAAACTAGGTAAGAGAAGAACTGAATTTAAAAATGAGGGAGATAATGGTATAAATCCTTGCACTATTGAGATATCATTGATGTGAAAAGAAAAACGCGAGGAAGAGGCATCATCAGTGGTTAGAAACAGCAGAGACAGAGTCATTTATAATGGCTGTACAGTACTTGTTCACCTGGAATTACCAGGTAAAATGAAGAAGAGGAAAAGAAAAGAAATAAAGAAAAGATAGAAATCAAGATGAAGAAAGTAAAACTGAAGAGGAATAAAGAAAAAGAACGAAAGATAGAAGAAAAGTAAAGAGAAAGGGAAAAGGAAAGAAAAATGTAGACGAAGGGAAAAGTAATGGAAATGAAGAAAAGTAAAGAAAGAAAGAAAGAAAGAAAGACAAGAAGAAGAAAAGAAGAAGTCACATGCCAGCGATGATCAAAACGAGTAGCAAAAGAAGGAATTGAACTAGCCTATTGTGAACTCAACAAAATTTGAAAGCAAAAGAGTAGTGTGAGTAGTGAAAAGTATTCAATCGATATGAATGACAGAAAAAAGAATAGTTGAGAATAATCCATGGCTAAAAGATTAAATATATACAGACAGGGTTAATTGTGATGTATTGAGGATTCTTTCTAAACTGGGTAAGAGAAGAATTTAAGTTTGAGGGAGATGGCATAAATTATTGCACTATTGAGACATCATTGATCTGAAGAAAAAAAAAGCCTGGAAAAGACAACGTTATGAATAATATCGTTTCAGTTATGTAGAGAACATACAAAATAATGTATACCAAACAGAATTTGCTGGGGAACTGACAAGAGGACAAAATGGGAAGAAAAATCCACAAGTTTCTCAGGATAAACAAAAAGAAAAACTGCAGATGTAATTGATAATGTTGCGCAGAGGACATTTGAAGTGAGAAACCTAATCTCTATTCATAGAGGAACACTTAAATAAATAAATAAATAAAACTATACTAAGGGTAAGCGATAAGATAAAATAATAAATGTATACTATTTGGAGAGAAAGACGAGGGATGAACAGTTAAATAGGATGCGAAAGCGGTAACTTCACTTCAAGAACTATTTAAAAAAATACGGGCATAATGACAACCCAAAACATTAGCTGTCAGAGAGAATTAGTAAAAAAATAAAATATTGCTATTGTTCAATCCAAGTCTGAAGAAAAATTTTCGTCATTGAAAGAAGAAAATCTCTGTTCCGGCAGAAAAGAGAAAAGAAAATGATGACGATGACGATGATGATGACGTTGATGATGATGATGACGATGATGATGACGTTGATGTTGATAACGATGATCATGATGACGATGATGATAACGATGACGGTGATGACGATGATCATGATGACGATGATGACAATGATGATGATGATAACGATGATGACGATATCATGACGATGATCATGATGATGACGATGACGGTCATGATGACGATGATCATGATGACGATGATCATGATGATGGCGATGATCATGATGACGATGATTATGATGATGACGACGACGGTCATGATGACGATGATCATGATGACGATGATAATGATGATGACGATGATGGTGATGATGATGATGATGACGACGATGATGAAAAGTGAAATGAAAATGAAAGGCAATGGTAAAAACGGAAAAGATGAATGATTCGAAAGAAAAAAAAGAAGAAACGAAAAAGAAAGGAAAATAGTAACAAGCAAAAAATTTCAATATAATCTTACAATACATCGGCAACGTGCAGAAAAGAAAGCTGATCTTAAAATATTTCTAAAAAGCCTATGAAAGAATGAAATAATATGAGCACAAGGAATGTCAACAACCTTTAAATTTTGGGTTGCAATTTGTTTTGAAATTTTTCCCGAAAATTTAGAAAATGTGCCACAAAAATGATATCTAAAAATAAAAAAAAAATAAAAAAAGAAAATGGCGAAAATGAAAATCAAAATCCCCCGCCTAATTGTGTCCGAAAGAAAAGGACATTTTATTGGCGACATCTTTGGCATGGATTAAATAACCAATTCCTGAGCAGACGTCTCATCCCCAACGAGACAAAGAGTCTTGCTGCTGCTGTAGTCTTTCTCTTTATGATTCTTATCTATTTAAACGGGATCAAATTAGAATTACGGAAATGGACGACTTATCAAGAGATCCACTGCTGATGACGACTGATCGAACTGCTTATGATCAAGAGATAAGGATCACGAATCGTCTGCTAAAAACAGTATCAACAAACAACGACAAAAAATAAAACAACAAAAACTATAATAATAATAATAATAATAACAATAATAATAATAATAAGGAATATTTCTTGAAAAATGAAATGGAACGGATGATCTGCGCAACACAAGAGCACGGCTTAAAACTAATTTGATCGATTACTCTATGGAGAGAGCAGCTGGTTTACCCCTATGCAGGCTGTGTGGCGAAGTGACTGAAAGTAGAAGTTAACAAAATAGCCCTCAGATTATAATGAAAACTCTGCCGGAAGCATGGCCTTGTGTGCATAGAGAAATTGTACAATCATTGACCAATGTCAGTAGCTGACAATGGGCAAGTAAAGCTCATGTGGGATACGACCATCTTGGACTGAGAAACGTTTGAAGTTAATCATCCTGATATCACACTTGTACACAAGAGCAACTATGAATGGTTGCTAACAGACATTGCCAGAATTTTGTGAAGATGGAGCAGGTAAAAATAGAGAGGTACAAAAACCTGGCAGAGAAAATCAGAGAATGTACCAAGCATCACCCCTCAACTTTTCCCTTTTGTGGTTGGCACACTGGGGAATATTTCTAAGAATATTTCTGCATCAACTTGGGGCTATCTAATGTCACTGAGAGTACGCAGATGGCATCGCTGCTTAAAACAGCCCATGTGCTGAGGAATGTTCTGCGGGTGGGGCTGATATATGGTCATCATCACCCGGCAGAAACATATAAGTGTGGGACAGGATCATAAAATATAGAGTTACGAAAAACTTGCAGGACAAATCTGAGAATGCATCACGCATCAGCTGAACTTGTCCCTTTTATGGTTGGCGCACTGGGGACTATTTCCAGGAATCTTTATGCATCACCTTGGTGCTATCTAATGTCATTGAGAGTATGCATATGGCTGCGTTGCTTGGAACAGCTCATGTGCTGAGGAAAGCACTTCGGCAGCGGCTGAATTATAAGATTCATCACCCGACAGAAACATATAAGTGTGGGACAGGATTCTAAATCAAATAATAATAACTTTACTCCATTTATAAAGGATTTTTAAAATGAACTTCACAGTGAAAAAATAAATAAAATGCTCAGCTAATAAACATTTATATGACAATGTTTAATTATAGAAAAGAAAGGAAGAAAAATCCCTTCATGGCCAATAAGTATTTATAAGTAATGATGCCGATGTAAATAAACACAATACTTTTGGTAATGATTAGCTTAACTCGTGAGTTTTAAGGGAAGATATAAAACAAAAAAATTACAACGAACGAGAACTGGAGGCATTGTTCTTCCTTGCTGAAATGCCAACGATGATGAAAACGAGTAGCAAAAGAAGGAATTGAACTACACTATTGTAAACTCAACAAAATGCTGAAAAAGAAAAGAGTAGTGTGAGTAGTGGAAAGCATTCAATCGATAAAAATGACAGGAATGAAAAAAAGAATAGTTGAGAATAATCCATGGTTAAAGGATTAAATAGATATAGACAGGATTAATCGTGATGTATTAAGGATTCTTACTAAACTGTGTAAGAGAAAAACTGAATTTAAAAATGAGGGAGATAATAGCATAAATCCTTGCACTATTGAGACATCATTGATGTGAAAAAAAAAACGCGAGGAAGAGGCATCATCAGTGGTTAGAGACAGCAGAGACAGAGTCATTTATAATGGCTGTACAGTACTTATTCACCTGGAATTACCAGGTAAAATGAAGAAGAGAAAAAGAAAATAATTAAAGAAAAGATAGAAGTCAAGATGAAGAAAGTAAAACTGAAGAGGAATAAAGAAAAAGATCAAAAGACAGAAGAAAGGTAAAGAGAAAGAAAGATTCTTTCTTTCTATCTATCTATCTATCTATCTATCTATCTATCTATCTATCTATCTATCTCAGTCTATTCTTATCTATCTATCTATATCTCACTTTTTATACCTACATATCTCTATCTATAACTTTTGATCTATCTCAGTCTTTTTCAAATATGTCTCACTTATCTATCTATCTATCTATCTATCTATCTATCTATCTATCTATCTATCTATCACTATTTGTACCTCACTGTGTTTATGTCAATAATGGAAGCATAAATAAAGAAAAAGCAAACTCTCAGTAACATCAACTATGAACACGGCCACAATATGCAGACCGTGTTTGGAAAATAAAAAAAAGACATTCCATCACTCTAGATACATATGTAAAAAATCTACACATTCAGGTAAAAAATAAAAATAAAAAACATAATTTGTAACGGCTTATAGAATAGCCGAAAGCACTTGCATATATGTAACATTCGGACTATTTCTTACATATTTTACGTACAGAAAAGAAAACACGAACACAAATAAAAGTGAATAAATGTTTTAATCGCAACTCTTTGTCAGTCGTCTTTGATGAAACTTGCTGCCTAACTGAACAATTATATATATATATAATATATATATATATATATATATATATATATATATATATATATATAGAGAGAGAGAGAGAGAGAGAGAGAGAGAGAGATAGATAGATAATGATAAACATATAGTTTTAAGGTATGATGGCTAAAATTGTTAAATATGAGCTGTGTAAAAGTGGCCCTGGAAGTCCACACCGAATGGCGACAGTCTGTTTCATGCTTGAACGCAATCTTTAGGCCATGTGTGTTGTGCGGTGCCTCGACTATTTATATATGCTGATCAATGGCAGCAATAGATAGAAAAGGTAGGCCATTCTGGTTTCTTAAATAGACGACAACAGTCATATTGTAAATTGCTCTAAATGCTTTTGAGTATGTGGACCAGAAAGCGGTTGTTTATATTTGTAACATAGCTGCATGGCCGTGCATGTATGTGTGCATTTGTAAGCTAAACATCTAGACTTTGGGCGTAGGAATCAACACTGCATTAAGACTGTCAGTTTCACGCCTCGATGCGAACTTCTGATTATTTAAAGCGTATTTTAACAACGCACATGGAATATCTTTTATGCTTTTTGCTGAGTTTTTCTAATCACAAATAAGTCGTTTGATGTGGGGTAGAAACATAACTTGCCGAAATTGTATGTCATGATTCGAGTACTTTCATCTATCTTTAGTCATTTTCAAGCAGCGAGAAGTCGAGTGCTTGCTCCATTGAACCTTTATTGCTGCTAACGGACCAGAGTTTGACCTGGTGTCGGAGAATACATTTTATCATTACGTGACTAAAATGACTTAACGGTTCGAAGGTTCGCCAAGATTAAAACAAAAATTATTGATAGAGTTTTATCGTCTTTTGTTGTGCTGAGCCGTCAAAATCTTTAATCGTTTTTTGCAGAGTATTGTTGTATTGTCGACCGTAATCCGACGGTAATTAAAAATAAGACACTGTTGTAGCATGACCAATATATGTCAATGTCTTTTATTATAAAAAATGATACAATCTTTCAAGGAACACGAGAACTAATATAAAGCATTAGTAATACTTTTATATTGGTAGTAAACACGAATGTTTTAAATTATTTTTCACCTTTTATGTAAATACAATGAGTTACAGTAAAATAATAGTATTTTGTAGTAGTAGTCATAATGATAATAATAGTATTAGAGTGATACTACTAATATTACTACTACGACTGCTACTACAAAATACTATTACTACTACTACTACTACTACTACTACTAATAATAATAATAAATATTCCGATATTTCAGTTGGCATGACTTTCATGATTTCTGATCTTAATTGATTGGTGGTGTGAAAATATAAATGTTTTGTGTCTGTGAATCAAGATGGGCTAGCATAAATATCCCTTTCAGTACCACTGATTCGCTGGCCATAAATAATTGGACAAGTCGCCCACGGACTGATGCATTGTGCTTATCTGCTCATGAGCGAAAGTAATGAAGGAATATCAGGGTCGGGTCTCGAGAGGGTTGTCATTTTTAAGTTTGAAGGATGAGGCAGCCAGAGTAACTTTGGCGCCACGTCTAGACACTTGGCAAAATACCAATCAAAGACCAGTTGAGTGGATTGGATTACCAGATCTGAAATTATTTTTGAGTTCTGAAAGTTTAAGCACTGTTTTTTTTTTAATTAGCAAAACTTATCACCATGTCACACATCCAGGGTGTTGCAGCAAAATCCGACACTTGACAAAAAGAAAATGAAATAGGCAATAGAATCAAAAGTTTTACATGCAGAGACCCGACAGTTTATTTAGCAACAGTTAGAGTTACATACGGCTATAACCATCTTAAGGCGGGCGCGAAATGAATCACACGCTTTGGCGACCAGCTCCTTGTACATATCGGCGAACGCCTCCACGATGGTAGCCTTCAGAGAGTCGACCGTCTTGTGGGCGTGCTGGTTGGTCTTGGCCTCGATCACGCCCCAGAAGAAATACTCAAGAGGGTTACAGTCGGCTGAGGAGGACGGCCACAAGTCCGGCTACCAGTGGTGAGGAATATTGTTTAGCAGCCACGCCTGGGTCGTCTTGGTTTTGTGTGCAGGAGCGGAATCCTGCTGGAAGACGTAGGGGCGTCCGGCGGCACGCTCCTCAGCACCTCCTGCTAGATCTCAGCGGTTACTCTCAGGCCCTTTCGAAAGGATAAGGATATCGTGTGTAATCTGGTTTGCTTCTCGTTTTGGTAACCAGTGTGAGCAAAATAATTGCTCAGTAATCCCAATGGAACATATACTAAGTTAAAACTCAAAAAGAAAGCACCCCAAAAAAAAAAAAAAAAGAAAGAAAGAAAATAAAACTAATTATTTTATTCTATTCCCTTACCTTACTAATTCTGTTTGTAAAAGTTTTTTTGCTCAAACAGATTTAACGGGTAACTTATATATATATATATATATAAAGACAGTAAGTATCTATATATATGAAGAAAGTAAATAAATAAATAAAAACAATTAAAAATGAAACCAAATAAATAAACAAATGAACAAATTAACAATTCGCCCCCGCTAAAATAACCGTTAGAACTAATAAAAATAAGCATAAATAAGCAAAAACAAATAAAAATAGCCAATCCAAATAAATAAATGAAAAACTATCCACCCGCCAAAATAACAGAATAGACTACGACAAGCAATCAAAACATTGGACGAATAGCTTTATCTTCCCAGACCAAAACAACCTATTAACTAAGCGACCTAAGCAAGTCCCCCCACCCACAATTTTTTACTACGTTAATAAAACATCAAATAATGAAAAGAATAAATAATACAAAATGAAAATGAGAAACAAGTAAAATAAATTAACCCAAACAAATAAACAAACAACCCACTCCCGCAAAAATAATCGCCAGAATAGATTACCCACAATGCACTACTAACACATTTATATAAATAGCCAAGGAAAAATCCAGCATTCGCAACCTGACGATTGCATCCAGCATGAAACGGCCTGTCGCCTCTGAGTGTTGGCTTCAATATTCACTTAGCGAACCAGTAAGACGGAAAATAAAACCTAACAAAGGGCGGAAAAACTGTCTGAGTCAACGGCCAGCTAACTAGAGGTAGTGTCTCCATAAACCCCCATGGAGAAGGCAACGGGGAACCACTCCACTATTAATCCCAAGATGTATCTTGGCTAACAACACACACAACCAATTAAAGAAATAATAATAGAGATAAAATAAAAAATATATATATCTGTTAACTCGGAGGCTTTCCCTGAGTCCGTAAGACGATGCAGGAAGCAGGTGGGATTATTTAGGTTACACGACTCGATATTTCCAAGATTTCGTGTTGTCGACGGAAGTTTTGGCACGTGATTTCCTTAAATTTTCCTTTGATTAAGATCTTCGGATTTCATTACAAATTGTTTCTTTCTCCTTTATGCATTTCCTTCTTTTCATTCTTCAGGCTTTTGCTTGTTTATTTATTTTATTTCTTGCTAATTAATTTTTCGATCATTTTCTTTGATTTTTTTTCTTCTTGATTATCGACTTACCTAAATTTATTCATGGATATGTTTCGTACACACACACACACACACACACACACACACACACACACACACACACACACACACACACACACACAAATATATAATGCCGAAATAGCTACCTTAATTTTATTTCATTCTTTCTTTCTTTGTTTTGTTTTTTTGTCTGGTGAACACAAAAGCGTGAAGCCCAGGGTCACAAACTCATATCAATACAACTTATTATGTTAATTCCATCACTGATATTGAGCGCTTTTCAATAAGTACCACGTATATAATATATATATATATATATTGAATCGTAGTATCTTACAAAAGATAGCTTACTTCTCCGAGATTTTTATAACACTATTGAACTCTACTTTGAGCAATAAGAATGTATAATTATTCTCCAAGCTTAACAGAAGACAAAATAGTCGTGATGAAATCGATCATAAACGAAAATGCCATGTTCATCATATTCAAGGTTTTCGTCCTCTCTAAACTTCTAACTTTCTGTCCTGCAGTAACTTTGGTGCCTCACACGTTTCACGTACAATTTCATTTACAAGTCTTTTTTCACTGTTTGAACTGTCATAGCTGAAACTCTTCTCTCACGTTCCAAACGTCTTATGAATTGAGTTCTCTCTTTTCTTATTGATCTCTCTAACACTAAGTTGGCATGATCATCGCTCTTCCTGTTGTGACATCCTGATCCAGTTTCCCTACTCTCTAAACTTAGTCACCGTTCTCTTGATAGTTCTTAAATAGAATTTGAAAATGGAAGTCGCAATATGAATGCTGCTACCATGTGAAGTTATTAGTGATTAGTCAATTCCCATCTCATCTCCAAATAACATCAAACTTTTTAAAAGTCATCATGACTTAACTGGTGACTCCGTCAGGAAAAGAGAACTAGCTACTTTTGAAATTCGTACTTTGCTTCTCAATTTTGTTATCAAACCTGAATATTTACAAAGCTTACCTCAATATAGAACCACAAATTGTCGCTAGAGAGGAATGTTGTGTTGGGCTAAACTTGAAATGCCTTGTGCGGAAATTAGCATAAGAAATTCTCACTTCTAATACTGTCCTATCACCGACCAATAGTGCAAGCCGGTGTGTTTGTGTGCGTGTGTGTATGCGTTTGTTACACGTAACTTAATTTCTCTAATAGACGTGACGACTTTTGAAAGGCCAGTGCATAAAAGTTTCAAATTTCGCTGCTTGTCGACTATGGAGAACTAAATAATCAGGACTTCCCAGCAGAAGAAAATCAATTCAACATTTCTTTTGGCTTTTTTTCTAGTTTTTTTCTAAATCTGATAAAGCCGAAGAATTTCGCATGCTGAAATTAAGCAATTATCTTAACTATAAAGTCGAATTTCTACACATTGTTAATCAGGAATTCATTTATTCATCGTCAATTAGTTTAGTGTTTTTTGGGTTTTTTTAAGTATTAAATATTTTGCGGGATGGACAATTATGGTGTAACACGATTTGGAACATTTTGCTGTTACACCTGGAATATATATATATATATATATATATATATATATATATATATATATATATATATATATATAGTTTTATAGGTGTGCTATATTTATGGGATAAAGGGCTCAATATCAGAGACAGAGCGTGTGTAAATATAGATATAAAAGGGAACATTGAAGTCAACACTGAGAGGCAACAGTGTGTGTGTTTATGCTGTTATATATATATATATATATATATATATATATATATATATATATATATATATATATATATATATATATGTTTCATTAAAAACGACAGACAAGGTACTACGGTTAAGTTTTTTTGTTTAATTTTTCTTGTGTTCGAACAAGAGCTTTCTTTTCTGGACAAAGAGTGTGTAAAAACTGTCCAAATGTTTTATATTTCCGAGCGCTTTCGGCTATACCTTTAGCCATTATCATGGATGATTCGATTTTTCAGCTTAATTGAGTGTGTGCGTTCTGTGTATGTCTTAGTGTGTGGTAGGGATGTTTTTAATTTCCGAATACGGTTAGCATATTGTGGCTTCGTTCATAGTTAATATTGTTAAGAGTTGGCTTTTTCTTTTTTCTTTTTAAAGCTTCCATTATTTTTAGTCTTTTTTTTTTGCAGGTGGATGCAGTTAATATATTTGTATTGTATGTTCCTAATGGAGTCTGGTAAATTTGTGTGTGTATTTAAATGGGTTCTAATGGAGCTGTGATCAGATAGGTGTAACGTAAGACGTCAGGATAAGCATGTGGTTGTGTAACCGATGTAATTATGAGTCCGGTTTGATCAGGAACACAGTTTTTAAGGGGCATTTGAACTGATATATATATATATATATATATATATATATATATATATATATATATGTGTGTGTGTGTGTGTGTGTGTTAAAATTTGAGGAATTTCAATATGCCGATAATCCTTCTCACTCGTCATATTTTCCACCGTTTCCCGTGTCTCGTCGTACTTTTCACACATCTCTTGTAATCATTTACATCAGAAAATAACCAAATCGATTTTATCGATTCTTTTCTTTCTTTGAAGAAAACGTTTCGCGCCTTAAGGTTTTGGAACTTTTGAATACTGGCGCTTTAGACTCGGTAGATCTCATCCTACACCACCACCCCCTTTGCTATTTCTGGCATTCTCCCTTTTGTCCTTTTATCTCTCTCTCTCTCTTTCTCTCTCTCTCTCTCTCTCTTTCATTCACTCTCTTCCTCACTTTTTAAATTACTCTCTGTTTTATACGTCCCCGCCACTCACAACTGTCCTCTTTCTCACATGCTCCATTTTCCTTTCCTCTCACGTTTCTCATCGAATCCATCGGCAGATGTTACGATTCATCAAAGTCATTCGCCTGTTTTGTCCCAATCGAAAGTAACTCATGTGTAAATCAGGTGGATGACGTTTGCTGCATTGTTCCGATACAATAACAAACAAACAAAACCAAAAAAAAAAACAACTGAATTTCTTTACTTGCGAGTTTTGTTTTACCGCCTCCGAATTCGTCGCCATCGTCGTGTTGACGGAGCGGCTAGACAAATGTGTAGGACACATGTGTCGCGTTGGGCCTCTGTTCATTCAACTTCTCTTGTCTCTTTTCATCTCTATTATTTTCTTTCCTTCTTTCTTTCTTTCTTTCTTTCTTTCTTTTTCTGCCTCAAATCTTCGGTTTATTGGAACGAAATGTGTTGTCGAGAGGCGTGGGTCGAGGCGGGGGAGTGTTTGCTCCGGTTGATAAGTAAATGTATGTTCAAAAAAATTTCTATGAAATCAGACAAGACGTAGAACTTTGCCAAGACAGATAGATAGATGAACAAATTGACATAGATAGATAATGAACAGACTAACATAAATATGTAGATAGGTAGATAGATAATGAACAGATATAAATCGATAGATAGATAGATAGATAGATAGATAGATAGATATGAAAAGATTGAGATAGATAGATAGATAGATAGATAGATAGATAGATGTATGTATGTATTAAGCTTTTCACCCCAAGCAAGGCGGGAGTGCCACTTGCACGCAAGGGGCTACAGAAAGTGGGAACAAGAGTAAAGAGGCGTGAAAGAGGAAATGATGAAGAGAAGTTCGGGGAATACATCAAGGCATCTAGAGACGCCAATTGACATTGCCTTTGAATAGTTGAAGATTTTAGCTATCAGGGAAGCAAGTAAGAGGAAGGGGGTTCAACGGACGGGAAGGGCGAGGCATGAAACTATTAGAGTAGAAGAGACGACTACATTTAACCGTTTCGGCAGTGAAAGGATGGGAGTGAGATGTCATCCTAGTAGCACGTTTAAATTCATGTAGTTTAGAAACCAGTGAAAGAGGCTCGTCGGAGCAGTTACCGTGAAAGTATTTGTAGAAAAGACAGAGGGAAGCGACGGCACGTCTGTGAGAGAGCGACTGTAAGCGAGATGCCAGATAAGGTCCAATCGTATTGTATATCCGTCACTGGTTTGTATCGAGGACCTTAAGACCGACATCGGGGGCTCTAGACCATATATGTCAGCAGTATTCTATACAAGGGTGAATGGTTGATATATATATATATATATATATATATATATATATATATATATATATATATATATGTGTGTGTGTGTGTGTGTGTGTGTGTGTGTGTGTGTGTGTGTGTGTGTACAAAGATAGAAAACAAACAGAGATAGATATTTTAATATATTCTCAGTCCTTGTTAATACATTGAATTCAGTGGTGAACATTTAATATACAATTTAGCTTTGAACTGATTTATTGATGTAATCTCGCAGATTTGATGATATGAGGAAACATACAGACAGAGAACGGACAGATAGATAGATAGATAGATAGATAGATAGATAGATAGATAGATAGATAGAACGTAAATGCTCTGTTTATAATAAACAGTATTAACAACATTTACCAGCTTGAAAGTCCTCCGACACGAAGCGAACCTCTATCCTTAACGGAATCGTCATATAGCCTGACGCTCTATGCCATTTAGCTACAGAGTAAGCGTCTAGTTAGAAAACTTTTTGAATTACACATTTCTTTGAAATCTCTCGGACATTCAGGCCGGTAAATGTTGTGATACTGTTTATTATAAAGATATCATTTACTTAAATATTTGTATCTATACAAATAACGTATAAACAATAAATATATTAAAATAATTAGTGGCCTTAGTCCATTTCATAATATATGACGTCATATATATATATATATATATATATATATATATATATATATATGAAGAAATATGAATGAAAATATCTTAAGGTCTACTATATTTATGGGATAAAGTGATCAATATCAGAGACAGAGTGTGTGTAAACATAAAAGTGAACATTAAAGTCAATATTTAGAGGCGACAGGCTGTTTCATGCTAGATGGCCTGACGATTGCATCTAGCATGAAACAGTCTGTCGCCTCTAAGCGTTAACGTAATGTTCAATATATATATATATATATATATATATATATATATATATATATATATAAGTTCAGTGCAAAGATGTTTCTATTGGTGCTGATTTCAGGTGTCATCTAGATTGAAATCATGCATCGTTCGCTTGCACGTCAGACTTTCTTGAATATTGGCGTTTTGTTCACAAATAAACGAGGTTCTTCCAGGGGTGAAACATTTTTTACTGCAAAGTAGTGTATCGATCAGGTCACCAATATCAATGCGGCTATTTTTTTAAAAAAATCGATTTTGGCAAATCGAAAAGGTGTCATTTTTTCACCGTGACAATGCAAGACCATATGTTGCAAAAGAGCACCTTACAGAAGTTTGAACAATTGTAATAGGACACCCCCTCTCACCAAAAACACACCGTATTCTCCTGACTTTGTTCCTTTGAATATTCACTTGCTCCGATCTCTACAGAACAATTTAAATGACATAATAATTGACTACGAAAATAGCTTTTACAAGCTTGTGGAACGATGGGTTATAGATATTTAAAAAAAAATAGAGATTAGGTGTTTGATTAATGAACGTTATTTTGTGAGTACGTCAAATTTTGTTTTTAATTTTCTCATCGGGTTGGAACTTTTGCAGTGATGTAAAATATAGGATGGCCATAAAATCAGGATTTGCATGAAAGTCACCGCTTCAGAGAAGACTGTCTGTTTTTCAGGGACGAAATATTCTCGGTGAGATTAAACGACAGATTTTCGGTACTAGACGCAAAATAATACGTGTTGTGTGGACCGTTCAAAAAAACAAAAAAACAAAAACAAACAAACAAACAGAAACCAGTAATGGCGCTGTTGATTGTAGAAATCTTATGTGCTAAGATCGTTGTTTTACGGGAATGTAAATGGTGAAACATACCATTAGTGTTCATTATTATGTGTGAGGCTTAGTTGAGTGAGAGACCAAGAATCTATCTATCTATCTATCTATCTATCTATCTATCTATCTATCTATCTATCTATCTATCTATCTATCTATATATATATATATATATATATATATATATATATATATATATATATATAAAGTGCGTAGGTATGCAGAAAATAGAAAAGAACACGTTGGGTGCATAATCCGGGGTTCCTTAGTATTTTTTTGTTTTTATTTTAAGAAGACAGTGCTCCATACAGAAGTAGAGCTTTATTATAATAATATTTTTTTGTTTAAAATATGATTCCTTCGCTACATAAGAGTTCTCATGTTTCAAAAACGAGAGCTGAAATCATCCAAATAATTATTAAAATTAAGTTGAATTGTGGTGTTTAGTCCCGTTTCATCTTCAAGCGAAATTTTAGGAATAAGCTATCTCTCGGTTTACGTGTGTTCATGCCTATATATATATATAAATATAATAATAGCGGAAATCTTTCTGTGAGGCCTGAAGATTAAAAAGATAAAAAGATAAAAGAGAGAAACGTACGTCATATTTGATTGGTTGATCAGGGTAGTGTCCTCAAGACATATACCCTTTTTTCGAAAAAAAAAAGAGGATGTATTTTGCTTTTGAAATCAAATTAATCATTCACTCGCCAGTAGCTAACAATCGAGGAGACGCATTGGTATGCACCGAAATACGACTGCAACTGTGTAGCGATTCTTGCATGTTGTTATAATATTCTGATATATATATATATATATATATATATATATATATATATATATATATATATATATATGAACCTAAAGAGCCAGGAAACCTATTTTGGTTTCACCTATATGGATCGTCAGGGTCAACGATCCGTATAGGTGAAACGAAGGCAGATTTACCCTGACTCTTTAGGTTCATATTTAGGTTTGCTCTACTTAGTGTATTGAGCACTTTACGTAGTTACTTTTGCTTTACTCGTTTTGGAGGGTTTTTTTCTTTGGACTCTGAGCTTGGATTCTGAACGATTGTTTTCGCCTCAATTTCATGGTCTTAGTTCTTTGTTTTTATTTTTCCTTGGGCATTGGTTTGTTCATTTACTAGCCAAAACACCCAAGGTTTTTCAGGACGAGTATAATTAATTATATATATATATATATATATATATATATATATATATATATATATATATATATATATATATATACACACACACATACACACACACACAAACACACCCACATACACATATATATGTATATATATATATATATATATACATGAATTATTCACACAAAAACTAATGCAATGGTTAATGATTTAAATGGTGAGACATCCATCATCGCAAACAATTCAAATAATATACAAAAACCTCCGAATCCGTTATGAATGAAATGACCCTTGTTTATATAAATTTCTGCCGTATTAGTTCTTATTTTTACTAGTAATTTTGTAGCATTTCCTATAGAATAGATGTTGTTCTTGTTTTTTCTCTTAGTAATATTAATTTTCTTAGTAATTTTCAATAGCATTTTCGGATACAACAATACATATATTTTCGTTGTCCTCTTATTACTAATTTATAAAAACAAGAACAACATCTATTCATAATGGACCTGGAGATGTCTGTATAATAATTCATGTATTTGTAAATTGATTGCACGCCATTTAAATCATTAACCTTGTATTAGTTTTATATATGAATAATATATATATATATATATATATATATATATATATATATATATATATATATATATATATATATATATAATAATATTTTTGTTTAAAAATATGATATTATTATAATAAAGCTCTACTTCTGTATGGAGCACTGTCTTCTTAAAAATAAAAACAAAAATACTAAGGAACTCCGGATTATGCACCCAACGTGTTCTTTTCTATTTGGAAGTGTGAGTTTAAAATTCTTTATAATATAGAGGAAAATTTTTTAAATTGATAATTCAATTTAATTTGAAATATATTACCCTTTAATAATCATTATTGATGATAAAATATTTAAATTGGAAAAATTTAGGTGTTAATACATGAAGTTACTTGTGTATATCGGTACATGGGTACCTGTATGAGTGATTGAACATGTAAAGGAACGTGTGTATATGTGATATTTGCATGGGTGTGTATACAGTATATGACAGCGCAAGATCTTTAATATTACCTTCAAATATTATCCCATATTACCTTAACTAAGATTTAAGTAAAAAGATTAACTAGAAACAGTCACGAGTTAAGTTCATGAACAAAATTCAAACGGATAGAGATGTCAACTTAATAATCACTAATAAATTTTTGTAAAGAGATTTTAAAAAACAATTACTAGAAGTAAACTTATATTTTAAAATAAAATTTTATTCTTTTAATGTACTTTCTATGAATATTT